CATATAGCAACTGCCACCGTTTGGTGATTCCCCTTCCCCACAAAATCTAAGCTTTTAAAAGGATATTTCCACCTGTTTCATGTGAAGGTGAGATGGTGATTTATTTGATCTTCTTGCTTGTTTACCAAACCTTGAAGGTGAACAAAAATAGGAAAATTACATCAAATGCAGCAGCAGGTGCAATCCCAAGCTCAGAGGGCTATTTCGCACATAAACAACCTAATTACATCCTCTGATTTATTTATTTATCTCTTGGCCCCCTGATAACATATCAGCAAGCACCAACTCCATTCGGATGCTCCAGGATGTATCATTCTGTGATGTCACAGATCTCAAGGAGATGCTACTGGAGCATGAAGCCAGCATGAAGCATGAAAAGGAGCTCCAGGCAAATCCCTTTAACACAAGCTGTATGATTTGCAAGCTTTTTCACTATTATTATTTTGTACCCAAACTCTGAAATACAGATTATTTAAAAATGCCATGTACAGGGAAAAAAGTCCACATGCAAACAGAGGGAACATGCTTTTGTCTCTTTGTCTAGACTAGATGTATAACCTGCATCTGGCCACTCCCAGCGTTGCTGCCACGTGCATAAACAGAAAGCAGTACCCTGAAGCTGACTGCTAGGGATGCTTGTCAGACTTTAATTTCAGGTGGTGGGGGAAGGTGCTGGATCCTAGTTCAGGGACCTAAGCTAGACACTAGCTCAGGGACATTTTGCCTTTACTGTACCTATAGGGTGTACCTGCACCTGCTACTCATTGTGCTCTGCAGTAAAGATGTAAAGGACAGTGAGTTGCTGCTTGTTTGATGCAGTTGCCTTGACAAATAACCTTCTGTTGCCTTGCAGTAGCAATGACATTGAAAGACCGGGTCTAAATTCTATCTTAGAATAGCAGGGTAAAATAATGAATTCCGAAAGCCTTAGAAATGGCAGCCACACATTTGATTCATTAGTACTCTTCTACCTTCTAATTGAGTTGGATGGGCATGGAGAGACTTTTATGCTGACTCAGCAATTTTCAACAAGTTGCCATGGTACCCTAGGGTTCCTCCTTTTAAGGGTGATTCAATGTGCTGCTCACATTTGCATGGTTAGATGTGTAAACACCTAACATGATTCACAAGATAGAGAGATTTCAAACAGGAAGCCATAGTGTCAAAAGCATACGGGCTTGTAGTCTTTTGGACTTCTTTGCAACAGAATTGCTCTATTATTTTCCCAACATCACAAACTAGTGAAAGCTAAGAGCTGGCATTTTCCAAGGATTGCCTCGAGTCTAACAAGTGGTCCCTTGAGTCTAAAAAGGTTGAGAAACACTGTGCCAAAGTGACCATGTGTACTGTTTTTCAAATTACTTCTCTATGCTCCAAGTATTTTTTTTTCAGGATGCCTGAAATGCCCTGGTTTTCCATTACATCATTCAAAAATATCTAGGCTTCTTTTGTCCAAGATGGACTCAGCAGAATTTGGAAACAAGTGATTAGGCGATAACTCAAGCACTAAGGTCCACTCGACAAAAAGGTCCCAGGAATCTAAAGCAAGGCTTAGATTGAATCCAAAATTGCAATTCTAAAAACCCCAGTTCAGAGCTGCTTCATCCACATATACAAATAGTTACTTCTGAATGATAGTTCCTCAGGAGCCTAAAATTCTGCATCTGAACATGTCCAGAAGTACCCCAAACTTACCATGTCTGAGCAGCTGCTGATACATAGCACTTACTTCAAATCTAGTCGTGACTGAGATCTAGAAAGCAGGCATCCTTTGGCTTACTGGTATATCTCCTGGGACATTTAATCAGGCATATATTTTCTCAGAGCATGCCTACTACAGAGCTACAGGATTGGGTTCCAGACAAAAATACAGCGGCAGCTATCATTTTCATTCAAAGCATAGATGAAGGTACCACACTGCTACTCGTTAGAGTATTTGCCCAGGAAGTAGGACACCTGGGTTCATTTTTTCTTCCCTACTCAAAGGATTCAGAGCCCTCCTCTACAGGAGAGTCCCTTGATATTTTGGATATAGCATAGTCTATCCGGGAAGGTAGTCTTTATCCACCTTGCTCAAGCTGTCCCACTGTGCAAAAAAAAATCAAGATTGATTGGGCTGCTAAGAGTTAGACCAAGGTCAGGTACAAGAGGGAACAAGACACACTGGGCTCATCTACATGTGCAATTAATGCACCTGAATTTACTGGGCAGTAAATTCAGGTGCATTAAACTAAACCTGGTCACGTGTCTACACTTGTGACCCTATTGGGAGCAAATTTAACCCAACAGGAGCAGTCAAGTCCAGGTCTGTTCCTATCCTGCTCTGCCTCCCTGCAACAGCCAGGGGGAACTCCAGGCTCCAGCCACAGCTGCCTGGGTGCCAGCCCTGGGCTGGCAAAGGACATTGGGGGCAGCCTCAGGCTGGCAGAGGATGGTGTCTTGGGAGCCTGTGGCCAACACACCATGGATGCTCCTTGCCCTCCCCCTGGCAGTTGTGGCCAAAGCACCATGCCTGCAAGGTACTTGCTGCCCACCTCCTCCTCTACCCCCTGTAGTTGGGTGCCTGGGTAGCCACCCTTAGATCTCAGGCCCACGGGGCAACCCCAAGATCACATGCAATATGGGCTGTTTTCAGCAAACACCAACCTTTATTTCCCTCCAGAACACAACAGACTGCCCAATAAATTCAGGTGCATTAATTGCACATGTAGATGAGCCCAGTGTGTCTCGTTCCTGCTTGTATGAGGCCTTGCTCTTACTCTCAGTGGCCCAATCAATTTTTCTCCTTAAAAGAGAAAATCTACATTTTTCCATGGCAAATAGAAAACCTGAATTCCTGCACACAATACTGGGGTGATAGTTGAGTGTGTCGATGGGAATCCAGGACAAATGGTGTCCTGGAGTCATTCAGCCTGGGACCAGGACTTATTGTTTATATTTCAGGACTGTCCTGCCTAATTAGGGATTGGTGGTCACCCTACCTAGCATGTGCTCACAGCACTGGCGCACAGAGCCCACGGAGCATGCAGATGCTGGCACAGGCCCCAGGGGTCAGGCCAGAGGTCCCTATAGCCCCAGCAGGCAGCGTGATGTCAGTGTCTACATGTGTGCTGAGGTGCATTAGTTTAATATACCATTTTCTAGTACTTGTATCTGTCATTACTATCAAACAGCACATTATACTGATCTCATGCACAGAAATTGCCACACATGTGTAGATGGTGATGCTTTACTGCACATCAGATTAGTCTAATGCACAGTAAAGTGTCTCATCTATATGTGCCCACTTAAGAGCAGGGAGTCCTCAGTTCTGGTGTCTGCTTTTGAGATTGGTTTCCATTTTCTTCACTGTCTGTGTAATGGAAAATGCTGAGTACAGAGGGCAGAACATGAAGATCTGCTTGTGAGATAAGTGCCAAAATCACTGGGATACAAACTCACCCTTTGTCTTACACCTTCTCCTCCTGGCCCCATTAATCTTCCAGTCTTAACTGTATAATACCCTGACTTCAAGAGGAGAGTGTCCTGCCTCTGTCTTCTCTATGGCTTCATAACTCTTCTTAGACATGGAAGATGTCACCCTAGTTTTGAGTTTAAAAATATGGTATCCTAAAATATAGGCAGTTCTTAAGGAAAGGTCTAGGAAATTTCTGGATTGAAGATGGGCTTTATTGGATAATTCCTGGGTGGACTGTGCAATTGTGCGGTCAGTCTTTTAGGGCTTTAGTAAATGTTATTATTTTATAAACTTCTAAATAAACCCTATATGAGTAATGCAGTATACAGCACATTAGCTCTTTGTGGCTAAGAAGGGCACCTGTCCATTATAAGAAAAAATTGAGAATCTAATAGTTTGTTAGTGCCTAATGGGCATCTTACTGCATTTTCTAACACAACACACTTTCCCAGTACAGGTCTACTTCTAATTCTGCTCACCATATAAGCATTTCCAACTCTAGTGGTTTTATTATAACAGCCACAAGTTTGTTTTGGTCTATTTTACCAAGTTCAATGGAAACACAATCAAAGACTGTTAACCTACCAGTTTTCTTTATTCAAAATGACTGCCAGCTTCTATTCAAATAATAAGAATGAAGCCTGCAAAATGGCTACCATTTCCAGAGCTGATTGTGATTGCCCTAAATAAAGATGGCTCCTACTGTTTTGTGAAACAGCAAAATGGCTATTGTTTCACAATGTGAGCAGGCTGGATAGCATTTAGACTGGGAAGATGAGCAGATGCCCAGTGAACTGCATAGGAGGGTTAAGACGGTATCTGAGTGGGGTTGGGAGGGTAGCTCCCTCTACTGGGGCAATGCAGAGGCTGTGGTGTTCCTTTGGAGTTTCCCAGGGGTAGGATGTAATGGATTATGTATCTTTAAGGCTGAATTGAACCCTCAAAGGTTCAGGTATGATTCGTGGGAGGCTGGGCAGTTCCCCCTGAAGGCGTCAGAAGCCAAAAGGAAAAGAAAAGACTGCACCAATTTGTTATTTTAGGAAATCTTTTGATTTTTTTTTTTTAAGCCAGCATCATGACTTTTTAAGTTCTTGATTGCATAGGGCTGTCAATGCTGCTGTACTTGACCAAATCTGGATATTGCCCTGTGTTTGCTTCTGTCCCTCAGGGGTTACAGTGGAGTGATATATGGGGCCTGGAGACCCCCTGAAGTTGACCTTACTGCCTTGCTGCCTCTCTCCTGTTGGTGACTGTAAAAGGTGGCCTAACAATAGCTTAGAAGTTTTGAGGTACATTCCTGTAACAGGGGGTTGCTCCCCTGTTACTGGAAATAGATTCAGAAAACTAGGACTTGCCAACCCAGAAGGAGCGAGAGACTGGTACAGGAGGGCAAAGAGACACAGCTGTCATCAAGCTGCACTCACCCTGATCAGAAACTTCAAGCATCCTGTGCTAGCCTGACCATGCAGGGTCAGTTAATTAACAAAGGGGAAGGGTGTGGGGGCATAAAGACTGGTCCCAGGCAGTAAGCAGAAAAAGAGGAGAGCCTGGAAGAGGGAAAGGGGAGGCATCCCAGCAACAGGAAAGCAGTGGACCCGAGGATCTCAGCCATGGTAAGATAGATTGTTTTTTGTTACCTTTTAGGTCAAGGTGGTTAAGTTTTGTGTTTTGGACTCTGTCACCCAGAGGAGAGGCAGTTCTGTTAAACATATATTGATTACAGCTGGTGGACCTGGTGCAGTTATAAGGGAAATAAGGAGACTGCATAGCTGTGCCAAGGAATGATACTCTGGTGACTAACTCTGGATCAATTCTGAGCTCACATTAGAACAGAGCGTACTTGCTCTGAGGCCTAGGCTCCAAAAGGGCAGCCCATAGGCCTGGCCTAGGACTTAATTTATTGGCTAGTACAGCTAAAAGTTCTGGGTTTGAGACCCAAGAGAGAGTGCAACAAGTCCATTATCCAGGGACAATAAGAGAGAATATGGCTGGAGAAGCTGAGTCCTTGGAAGGAGGGTAACAGAGATTTAAGTAAGAAAAGGCAGACTGGGATGTTAAGATCTAGTCTCACCACCTCACCCATCTTCTCCTATGGGAGAAGGCAACCTCTTTGGTCCCTTTAACAAAGAGGTACAGCAGGTACATAAAGGAGGAGGAGTGCAGGACCAGCTGTGGACTGAACCCCAGAGACACTTGCCAATGGCACCCTGTAACAGTTCCCATGGAGAATCAGAGTTGGGACTGATGGGATGCAACTGAGTCCAGTTAGCAGCATCTGGGTTGCTCTTATGAGTATGAGGAGAAAACTCTTTTTGTGGTCAATAAAAACCTTTCTGAGGCTTCTCTCTTTGAGGAAATAGGATTGATTGGCTCTGCTTTCAGAGCTTTCTGTCCAAAAAGTTGTATATGCAGAGACAATTTTTTAAATTTGTTTAAGCCAAGGCTCTTTCAGTACACTCAGCGATCCAGAGTTTCTGTGAGGCATCCTTCTCCAAAAGGTGTTTTGTGATTTAGGGAACATGTCTGAATTTGGGGAAGGGACATATTTGAGCTCCTCTGTAGGAGCTCCCAAAAATGTAATTATACCTGGAAACAGGGTGATGTCTTTGTCCATAGATCCTCAGCCTCTGGCCTAAGGGATGGGTGTAGCCAGCAGAGCCTTGGAATCTGGCCTGCAGGGCTTCCCACACATTGGGGAAATTTGGCAGTGGGGGAGCAGTGGCCATTAATATGGAAACAAATTTCCCAAACCCCAAGGGGGCTATGCCCCCTTCCTCCTGTGTGGTCAGGCCACACCCTGTTTCTCCCATGGGTCTGGGTTGGGACTGGATCATGCTCCCTTTTCATTTGTGGGGCTGGATGGTCCCTACACTCCCATCCTGGGCCCCAGATGGGGCCATTAGCCAGATCTGGCTCCTGGATGGATAGGGCACTGCCCATCCAACACATGGCAAGGGAAAAGTTTAGGTACCACTGTCTTAGTCCATGTCCTGTCCAGTCTGCCTAACTTCTGGCCTGATAGAAGAGCAATAGTGTATGACCCTTTTCTGACTGATTTTTCTAATGGCTGGGCAAATAAGTGTGAAACTGTCTCTGGCAACAGGATATAAGTTGTTCAGGCCCTGTTCCTAGACAGGCAGGAGTCCAAACTGAGGGTTACTATCTGGAACTTGTTCAAGCACCATCCCTGCAGGCTTGCATTTGGGAGCTTGGAGAAGCTGAATTGGGTAAGGAGGAGTTGGGGTCCAAGCCTCCTGTTTTCCCAGCTGTAACTTTTGCTTTTCTACTTTGGGAGACTGTGAAAACACTCAGTGTTTTTTCTTCTTCTTTGCCACTGAAGCCTGAGCAAATGTGCAGTAACACAGCATAGGGTTATTTTTCTTTCTCAGGGCATACTATGCTGCCAGCATAATGCTGGTTTCTAATTCAGCTGCTCTTTGGAAAGCTGCTTAAATAAGAAATGTCTGTTTGCCTGAAGGTGGACACTGGTAAAGAATGATGAAAATGTTTGTTAAGAGTAACTTCAAAATGTCTGCAGGCTCAATTTGGTGAAATATTTAAGTTTGAGTTCTTGTCTGAAACTGAACTGACACTGGTGCTTTAGTGATCTCCTGGCTAGAGCAGCACCTAGGATGGAAGTCTCCCTTTGTTAGATTTTGAATTTTGGCTTGAATTGGAATTGGAATGAAAACCAGAGCTTTTAAAATTCTCCAAAGGAAAATTTCCAGACTTGGATTTGGCTTGATAAAAACAACTTCAGTTAGACAAAATCAAAATGCTTCTTTATGCTTGCTTTCTAAATATTGTATGATAGTGTACAATTTAAATTTGCAACCAAGTAATTTCAAAACATAAATTGAAACATTTCATTCTAAGTGCCAAAACAGGAAATTTCCACATTGTCAGAAATATTTTCTGTTCTTCTGAAATAAAATTCTGGCAGAAATGACTCAGTTTAATGAATCATTTAAGTGAAATACAGTTGCACTAAAATGTCTCTAGCCAGCTTGATCCTGGTCCTTGTACTGGTATCTCTCCCTTACAGCTCTATCTTGGACTGCTCTTCAGTACCTTCCTGCCTAGATCAGGTACTTCCCTGGAGGCCTAATTGCCAGAATGAATCTGAGAGAAGATCCTTTATGCTGACTTTCTCTCCCTTGTCCCGCAACCCTCGCATTCAACTAACACTTATCCTACCTGGAGACATTCCACATTCCTCTGTGGAGGCTTGGCCTTGAGGGTCTCTAATGTACAGTGGAAGCAAGCCCACATTTTCCCGAATGAATCTGGCTAGGATAGTGCAAGCAAATCTAACTTCATAGTTTTCCAGTGGCTTGCGTGAGACCAAGTTCCTACTGCATAGGCTCTCAAGCCAAAACCAACTGTCTCCCTTCTTGGTAACTTCACTAGAATCCAGATATTGAACAGGTACAGAAATGGTTTCTCTCCACTAGGACTGGGACCTGAGACCAAGGTATTCTGGAAAAGCCTGTGCCACTGCTTTAGTCAGATGTATAAATTTTTTGGTTTTTGTTCTTTGCTGATTTTCAAAAAGCAAAAACAAGCAGAAACAATTAGAGGACAGAGATAATGTCTTTGCAGTGGGAGAATGAGGCTGAGGATTGGAAGGCTTGGATTCGAGTCACAACTCTGCCAAAGACCTGTTGGGTGACCTTATGTATATTAAGGGAAGCAGGGCACTTCTGAAAACCATACTCTTAATTTATTTGCTTCAGTTTCTCTAGAACTAACACACCCTTAGTTCTGATTAACTTAGATCATTCCGGCTGTAAGTAGCTGATGGGTTCTCGATATGTGCCTGTACAGCATTTGGCTTGATGGGCCTTCATCCCAGTTCTGACTCTTAGTACCACAAATGCACACAATATAGGAAGCATAAGTCTTCAGGGCTGCCATTGTGTATCTTTCACTGATGAGCAAAAGTCAAAATAAATAGTTGGGAGATTCTTAGTACTTGGATAAATGTATCCTAAACTTAAGCTGCCTAATAACAGGAAATCATGCCTTGAAGTAGAAAACAAAGAGACCTGAAAGGCCAGAGAGAGCCCCAGTCTTGTTTTCCCTTCTTTTAACTATGCCTAGTGATACCCATGCTATATCAGACTTGCCAGCATGTGTACTGGAGCATAGATAATGATAACAGCCAGGACACTTGCTCACTGATACAATGAAAAAAATACTGTAGGGCAAGGCTCTTGACAGCAACCCTTACTAACCACCAGATTGTCTATAAACCTCTTCCTTGCTCTGTGTCCAATGTGCAGCCCCACTGAAAACAAATAGAAAAGATAGGGTGGCTAATCAGACGTAAATGATTTCTGAAGTCAACACTCCATACTGAGCTAAATCATCTTTTCTGGCTTCTGCTTAATGATTTTTTTTTTTTTTTAAATCAATAGTTATAGTGTGCACTTATCTACACAATTTTCAGCAAAGGTACTTTACCTTGCAACATCACGGGTAAAGCTGTTGTAGCAGAAAATTGCAAAAGATTCAGAAATGGAAAATCACAAATGAAACATTCTGCATAACTTCACATGGCAAAACTTAAGGGTAGAGTGGGAAGTGTTTGGTTGTGCATTTTTTTTTTTTAATGCTAGAAAGTGAGTGTTGTGGGCAAATGTCTTTTCAGACGCTCCTCAATATTTAATGAGGGCTACATATTCTGTGGGTGCTTTGCATTTCCTTTTCAGTTCCCTGCTGCTCCCATGCACATTTTCTAGTGTTTACCTATGTGCCTGTTCACCTCTACTCTGGGCGCAAGGGTGGTGATGAAATGAAGATACAGTGATTCCTGCTACATAGACTCAGCAGTACAACGCTTGGCTCAGTGATGAACCAGTGACACCTACCATATTTCCAAGGACATTGAAGGTACACAAACACATTAAGTACTGTTTTTGTAAGAGGTAAACAATAATAATACATTTAAAAGGCATGGCGATTTGTTAAGCATTTTAAAAGTTGAGTTTTCTATCTGCTTTGTTTTCCCAATTAGTGTAATGAAGTGACTTCATGCCAGAAAAAAATTAGTTGTAAAGAAATTCCATGGGTTCATATGGCTCTGTGAAACTAGTATATAACATAGTAACACTGAGAACAATAATATTTCCCAAACCTATATAGTTATCATTAGAGCAATTTGTCTTTGTTGTAACTATTACCCCGAGGAAATGCTGCTTAGGATTTTGTTTAAGCAGCTGCAACATGCTCATATTCAGGTATTTGCCTGTATGTTTTGAGAGATGTCATTGACTTTCAGATGTGTAACAGGGCAGCTAGGTTCCTGAAGCAGCAGTGACTTCTAGCTGCCAATGTGGCTATTTGGGTGGAATTGCACCTGCTATTTTTTCACCAGTGCTTATTCTACTGGTGGCTTGTTCTGTCTGAGGTACTTTCCCAAACTCCAGTACCGTGGCAAGGAACTTCAGCACCTGGGGCAAAGCTCTCATTTCGTGCACAGATCTGGGGGAGGGGGGTGGGGAAGATTCCAGAATGACCTGGATAGACTAGAGAAATAATCCAGAATCAATTAGATGAAATTCAACAGGACAAATGCAAAGTCTTGCACTTGGGACAGAATAATTGTATGTACAAATGGAGACTGAGGAGTTCATGGTCTCTCTCTGAAGTATTGCAGCCTGAATGTGAGCCAACGTTGTGCTGCTTGGGGGGAAGCCAACAGCATGCTGGGTGCCATTAACAGGGATGTTGCTTTCAAAACAAAGGAAGTGATTCTTCTGAATACCTGGAACACTGGGCATGAGTAGACAAAATCGGGCCTTAAACCGAAGCGGTGGGTTTTTAAAAACTCCGCTTCAATTTGGGGCCCTTTAAACCCTCATGTCATGCATGCACACACACGAACGTACCTACCTCAGCAGCAGGGAGGGGAGGGTGAGCTGCCAGTAGGTGGAGTGGTCCCTGTGCTGTAGGGGGGAAATAGAGCTTCCCTCTGCAGCAGCAGCACCCCCCACCCCAGGTGGCACCTGCCCAAAGGCACTTGACTTGGGCAGTCCCAGGGGGCACTGCAACCGCAGAGGAAAGTACCAGCCCCCCACGCAGCTCAAGCAGGCTGGCTCTGGTGGCGGGGCAGGGGGGGAAGATCACTACTTTGTTTCTTAGGCAGAGCCTGCTTTCCCAGGCTGCTGCCAGGCTGCCTACACGGGCTTCCTGCAGAGTCCCTGAGCTGCATGGAAGCCAGTGCTTTGCTCTGTGGCTTTAGAGCAGAAAACTAAACTAAAACTCTTTGGAGGAGGTTTAGCTTGCTGCACCCCAAATCTTTTAAGGCACATCATGCTGCCAAATTTGCTACATTTGCAAATTTGCTGGAATTACTGTTCAATATGCTGTCAACGTGTACAGACACCAACACCATTAACATGATGCAAAAGCATTTAACCTGCTTTAAAGTGTCATGTACACATGCCCCTTGTTTCATCTACGCATGGCCACTGTGTCTAGTTTTAAGTCCCATGCTTCAAGAAAGATGTGGACAGGTTGAAGAAGGTCTAGTGCAGGGCAATAAAAATGATTAGGGACCTGGGAATAATGATTTATGAGGAAAGGCTGAAAGGACCAGGCTTACTTAGTTTGGAGAAGAAGACTGAAGGGGGATTTGACAATAATCTTCAAATACCTGAACAGTGAGTACAGAGGATGGGCATGGGCTCTTTTCTGTGCCTGTAGGGCCCAGGCCTAGGAACAATGGCTTGAAAGTACAGCAAAGGAAACTTAATCTAGAGATTAGGAAAAACTTTCTGACCATGAAGGTAATCAAGCTTTGAAACAGGCTACCTTGAAGTTGTGGAATCTCCATTCCTAGAAATTTTAAAGAGCAGGTTAGACAGGTACTTGGCTAGAATGGTTTAATGAGGGAAATGCAGGATATGTGCATCAGAGCAGGACATTGATTCTCTGAATCATTGGTGTCTTTCAATCATTTAAAACTTCCATCTGTCTTGTTTATTGCAAGTAATTTGTTCATCCTATGTGTTTGTCTGGTTTTTTTTCCACCTTCCTTCTGAACCTACCTCTATAATTTTGAGTCAGAATGAAGCACTTTTCATGCCGAATTAATGTTTTCACTGTGTGAGAGCTGCTTAATCAGTGGTGGGAAATCAGGAGCTCCAGTGATTAGGGGTCAAAGGATCTTATCTCAACAGGCACCCCAGTGATTTATTTTAGTGTCCGTTGACACCAGTGCTAATTTGTAATCCAAAGCCCCAATATTCAGTTACTAGCTCAAACAGAAGTTCTAATTCATTGCTTAACTTGTACCTGTGGGGTTTTTTTCCCCTCCTGGCTTCTCTTTCATTTCCTTACTGACAGCTTTTCAGACACAATTTCGTATTTGTTAGAAATGTTGACATTATGCTTGGTTAGCCTGCAAAAGAAACAGACTTCCAGAATCAGTTAACTAGACATGCATGTATCTCAGCCACTCTGACTGTTAGTACTGTTTGAATTGAACCATAAAATATAGCTCAGATGGCACTTGCACTAGAATGACATGTTGTTCTTTATGCAGACCTGATCAAGAGGAGGGAGAAGCAGTTCCTGTGAGTACTCATTCAGCTTGTCAACTGGATTGTTCTGAGTGTTTGTGTTCCATGTGCATTTAATTTCTGAGAGAGACTTACCCCTGTACAGAGGAAGAGCATGTGGCCTGGAGACCATCTGAATCTCACTGGAAACTTTAAGTGAGATTTGGGCCATGTGGTGATCTATGTAGAGATGACTTTTGTGTATGAACCCTCATGCAAGCAAACCTTGTTCATAAAACATTAGCAGAAAAAGTCTGCTGAGGTCAGTAAATTTAAATTAATTTGTAAGAGGGCTCAGTATTCACTGATGAACCACTTGGAACAGTGGAAAGCTTGTGGTCCTGTTGTGTAGGAAGGAAATCCTCATCTACTCTCAAATGGAGTTTTTGGTCACTCACTTAAAAATCTGGCTCTAAAAAAATTATATTATTTCTTAGTGGCTTAGGATCGAACTTCGGTGCTATTGCAAATTTCAGTTTTAGTTTCTCAGTGACTCAAATTTCCAGAAAGGAAGCAAAGGGCAAAAAACATTCTGTTAAGTATATCAGAAGTAGGAGGAAGGCTGGGAAAAGCACAGGTCCCTCACTGCATGTGGAGGGGAAGCCAATAATGGAGGATACAGAGAAAGTTGAAGTGTTTAATGCCTTTTTTTCTTTTTCTTTTATTTATTTATTTATTTCAGTTCTCAATAAAAAAGGTCAACTATCAGATGACAGACCCAAGTAGCAGCAAGGATAGGGGAGGAGAAGATAATGAGCCCAGAGTAGTGAAAGAGTACTTGGACAAACTGGATGTTTTGACATCAGAAGGACTAGATGAAACTTGGGAAATTGGCTGAAGTGGTTGTAGAACTGTTGGCTATTTATGTTTGAGAAATCATGCAGGTCAAGTGAGGTCCCAGATGATTGGAAAAAGGCAACTATAGTTCCTGTCACGTTTTTACTGGGAATACCTTCTCCGCTTTGAACAAGATTATCTATCTAACCAGTTATGTGCACTGTAATGGAGCTTCTACCCAGTTAATAGAATGGGAAGAGGATCCAGGGGTACCTGGCCCTCTTCCCCTCTTTCACCCCCTTCCCCCACCTTTTCCTCTGTTAACTTTTGTTTGTTTGCTGATGCGTCCTTACAGGTGGGGTTTGAGGTCCCTACAGGTGGGTACCCTGTAGCACCACTCAACAGCAGCCTACAGCTACCTTATTCTATTTTCTTATATTATGTGTGAGAATGTCCTAGGAGATGGTAGGAAAGGCTTTAAAAAAACTAAGGCATTATCACATCCACTTGTATCTCCCTGTCCACAAATCCTACCATATCATAAGTAGATCATATTTGTTAAGTATGACTTCCTCCTGCCAGATCTAGGTTGGCTGTTCCTTATTGCCTACTTATTTTCTAGGAGCTTAGAAACATATACATCAAAGAATCTAAATATATTATAGGGAAGGAGGACTTGGAGAACTATAGACAGATCAGTGGGGTCTCCAGGGCTCTGTCCTGGATCCAGTATGGCTTGTAATGGACTTGGAGAATGGAATTGACTACACACTTGGTAAATTTGCAGATGACACCAAGCTGGGATGCCTGAGAGTGGCAGAAACTTTAGAGGATGAGATGGGACTCAAAATGTTTTTGATACATTGTAAAAATTATGTGAAATTTAATGGAAAGAACAAGTACTGAACTTAGGACAGGTCAATTAAACACACAAATACAAAATGGACATTGAGTGGTTCACTGCAGGCTTGGCAAAAAGTATCTGGGAGGTATTGTGAAACATGGGTTTAATATGAGTCAACAGTGTAATATTATTACAAAATGCTAATAGCATACTGGAATATACTAACAAGGCTATGAGGAAAGTGATTCTTCGGCTTTAGTCAGCACTGGTAAGGTCTCACCTGGAATACTGTGTCCAGTTTTGCATACCACGTTTTAAGAAGGATGTGGAGGAATTTGGAAAAAGTCCAGAGAGCAACAAAAATGGCCAGAGATCTAGAAAATGTAACAAAGGAGAATGCTTAAGTTGGAAAATTAAACACATGAAGGGGGGTTTCATAAGTCTTCACCAGCCTCTCTCTAAACAATCTGATCAGTTGGGTATGCGTCTACAGGGAAAGGACAAGAAGTAATGGGTCCAAATTGTCCAACTCGCAAACTGTGGTGGATATTAAGAAGAACTTTCTAACAATTTGGGTAGTTGAATGCTGGAACAGGTTGCTGAGGGTAATTATGGAATCTTAGTCATTGGAAGTTTTTTAAGTACAAGGCTAGAAAAACTTTTATCTGAGGTAGGAAGATCAGTCTAAACTACCTCAGGTAAGCATTTGGATTAGGTGACCTCCTGAAGTCCCTTTTAGCATGTCTCATCTATGATGTCCCAATGGGGTTATTAGCATTTCTCCCTGCAAGAGGAGGGTAGGATGATAATTTTTTGAAGATGTGCTATTGGAGGACCATATAAGTACCACAAATAGACAGCATGTTGGTGATGGAGACAACTTTTTGGTCAGCAGTGAGACGGGAACTGCTGCTTTAATTGCAGCCCAGTCACAAGCTAGTGTATAAGCATATCTAACAAATAATGGTGATTGTGGCATGTCATATCTGGGCAGCCATGGTCCCCCTGTAAAACTTGAAAGGGTGCTGTTTCTAACAATGTAAAGAAGTCTGGCTAATGGAGAAATCATTATCTTGTTCCAGAAATATGGCTGACCTTGTGGCCTTTCAAGAGACTTTAAAGCAGAACTACCAAAAGGACTTGGGGGGTGGGGGGAGTAACTTCCATTCTTAAATTATTTTTACATTTTCTGCCCATCTCTGGATAAAGACGCTGGTTTCCTTATGGATAGCCCTTCCTAACATGCCTACATGCGTGCGTGCTGGTGTATGGAAAACAAAGCATAGTAAAGGGTGATATTTTAGCATTCATCATGAAGGATGAGCAAGGAGGACTAGTTCCATCTTGGGGAGGAGGTATTGGAAATAGCAGGGGATAGAACTTGGCAAAGATGATAAGGAATATGGAAACTTCTGTATGAAGAAAATTTAAAAGGATCAAGCCTTCTTATTTCATCATGCCCCTTCTCAGTGCTCACTCAGGTTATGAATGGGCTTATATGATGTGGTGGCCTGCAACAGGAGGTCACACACAGTTCTATATTCCTCTTATCTGCTTCTGTTATGGAGGCAAGCACATACTAAATGGTAATGAAAAAAACAATTATAGGATTCATTCTGCTTTTTCCATAAGTAAAAAGAGGGGACATCCAGTGAAACTGAAAGGTAGTCAGTGCAAAACTGATAAAAGGAAATAATTTTTCACACAGGAACTGTTTGGCTACTGGGGAATCAAGAGGGGATTGTGTGTGGGTATTCTTGGCTTGTTGGGGGGGCGGTTTGTTCCCTTGGAGAAGGCTATCCAATAGCTGCAAGGGACATGTACACCTTCAGCATAGCAGCCAGTACTACCCAATGCACTGCCATTCTGCAGAGCTGCCCTGTTATACCTCTGTACCTTTACCTGAAGGACCCTTTGAAACTGGTCACTGTAGGAGGTGAGTTACTATAGTTATGCCATGGGTCTGATCTATTCTACTAAGTTTCCTGTGTTTTTTGAATCTTTACAGAACCAAACCAGAGACTTTCAGATGTTGTGATGAGAAGCCAGTGAATATGGCAGAAACTTGTGACAGGGGCCTGAAGATGCCACTTATATCATCGGAGCCAGGGGTTGTCAGCTGTAGGGCCATTGAACCCACACACAAGTCCATGAGTTGCACTTGTTCTGGGGAATGTATGGGCTACTTGCCCCCCTGTCTAGAAGGTGCGGGGGGGGGAGGAGGGAAGATGCTCTGACTGCTGTCTTCTGATTGGGTGACTCCCTAGTAAAGTGGCTCCAGAGGATGTAGTGATAGAGAGCCTGTCCCAGGGCTGCTATATGAAAGATAATGAAACAACAGGCTACAGCATCTTTCCCCAGGATCTATTATTTTCTTAGCCCTCCTTTCATAGAATGGCTCCTGCCATACTCAGGAGGGTAGAACAGAGGCTGATAGGTTGACTACCAGTTGATAAAGCCTTGCTGCTATTAAGAAGTCTGGACCTCTCTGCTTAAGTGATTAACTTGTTCTCTGCTATACCCTGTGGTTCGTGCTTGATCAACCCACTTCAGTTTGGAGAGAGACTTTTGGTGTGGTCCTTACCAAATATTTTCTTTAATCCAAATACCTTTTATTACATCTACTGTTTCTCCTTCAACTGCTTATCTTCCACTTTTGTCAGAAAAGCAATCAAGCAAGATTTGTTCTCTATATCAATGCTGCTTATTCCTCATTACTTCATTATCCTTCAATGCAAATTATTTGGTGTACTCCAGTAGTAAAGTGCTACTCAACCAGAATAAAAGTAGTAGAATCTGATGCTTATGGTATACTCCATTATTTTGATGTAAAAAGAGGTTTTCCATGTAGAAATTACTTAACGTGCACCTATTTCCTCTTTTGATTTGTATGAATAGGATAGTTTTATGAAAGAGAAGAGAGCTGATATTGTCTCTGTCACTATTGAAACTGTAATTGGAATAGGGTGTTCAGTTCTGGTATCAATTTCAAAAAGTTTGTAAGGTTTTTGGAGAGAAGAAAGGCCCTCTAATCATGTTTTACAATGACAGAATAAATGGAGCTTCTTAAGTCTATTTGGAATAAAGTTGAGTGGTGACTAGACCATGGTCTGCAAGTGCCTATAGAGTAAAAGTGTATATAGTGTTGTGTGTTTTCTTTTTTTTTTTTTAGGTAGGGCTTCTTAATCTAGTAGGAAAGGGTATTACAAGATCCAGTGGCTGGAAAAAGAAGCAAGACAACTTGAGACTTTACTCAGTTTTTGATGTCTTAGTCCACAACAAAATATTGACTCTTGTAGGAAGCTAAGCTCTCTCTACCTGCCACATGATTTCTTTTCTTCCATTCATAACTGTGCTATTCAGGAACTCTTGAATTATCTATTTTTGGAGTTGCAATCAATTTGCCCTTTCTGTGCTTCTCCTTGACTCCAGTTGCTTGTGTAGATTCCCTTGTCTTTAGAAAGATGAAGATACAACACATAGTCCTCCCAATCCCTACACAGCAGAGATGCCCAATCTTTACTGGCCCATGGGTAAGAGTACTGAGCAAGTAATGTGCTGCAGGTAACTTCATATGTTGTACTCCCTGACAGTCTAGAAGAACAGGTATCTGTGGAAAGCCAAATACCATGTGGCTCTGAGTGTGTTACTTATGAGCTATGGGTTGGGATGCAGTGACGTATAGAATGAAGAGCAGCACTTATTCTGTGAACTGAATTGTCTCTGGTGTTTCTGTATCAGAGGAAATGGCTTCTACTCCAAAGATTGTTCGATGGAACTGTTGGGTGGAACCTTTCTTGTGTTTGAGCTGTCACACCAGCATGTCCAAGCATAAAAAGCAGTGTTAGATCTCCCTAAAGTTAATTTTAAACAATTGAAGTATAGGCTTAAAGGAGTAAGGCTACTTGAGACCCTGCATCAATGGGATGAGTAGTGTGGTAAAAAGTGCCAGACATACCTTCCGAGAGGGTATTGGGGAACTCCTGGTCCATACGCTGAATGACCAAACCAAAACAGACAAAAAAAAAAAAATACCTTGCCTGCAGTTGTTAGCTCAAGGCATTTCCAGAAGCAATTAGTACATCAGACTCACTGCAACTTATTATTAACCTCTGGTACCCTGGGAACAGTCTTCTGCTTAGTCATGTGTGCAACTGAAATTTTAATTTAATTTGTTTAATTTCCCCCTGTACACAGACACTCTTTAGTAAATTTATTAGGCTTCCACTACACTTTGCCCTTTTCATACTAAAAAAGTGATGGATTGTTTAGTCATTCTGAAATAAGCCATTCATCAACTCTGTGAGTCATGTAATACTAAGGGCATAAATAATTTATTACCTATGGTAGTAGTGGAAATAATGTACATTGAGCAAATTCTAATTAAAAATAATCAAGAGATTAATCACTTGATTGAAAATTATTTATGAAACTGAAACGCTTCTTTTCAAGAGTTTTAGACTTGGAGAATTACTGCAGTGTTTAACCAGTGACCTGATAAGTTAAAATAGTTTCTAATCCTCAAACTTCCTAAAAGTTGCTTTTTTCTTAAATAATCGGCTATTTCAAAAATGCTTACAAAAATGTATTTTACTGTGTTTTAGAGGGTAGTCTTTAGATGAGTGTGGAAAGTCTGATCCTTATTATGCTTTAGCTAGATTTATTTTAAAATGGTTATTAAAATTTGTTATCCTTTTATTATGAATGAGAACCCTATTTTTTCTGCAGCATAATGCTAGAGTCAAATTATCTGTGAGAAGACAAAGCTGATCTTAACAGCAATAACCTAGTTTACGTTCTTCACGTACTTTAACAATTTTGTAGTGTTTAGAAATTTTCAGGGTATGAAATATTGTAAACCTTAAAGGCAAATTCAGACCCAATGTAAATCTGAGAAACTCAATGTGTTGTCAGGCTTTTTACTAACAAGGAATTGTCCTTTTAAAAAATTCTCACTGTGACACACTCCCTGATGATACGTATTGTTATCTTTTGGACTAGATCCTGTTAAAGATTCAGGCACTGGCTGTCCAAAGCCCACTCGGGAGTGTGGATGCCCAAGATGATGTATGGAAAGAGTTCAGTGCCTCAGAAAGATGATCCAAAAAGCATGAGTTCAGAGTGAGAAGCCACCTAGACCTAGCCAAGTAGTTCTCAACCTTTTTAGACTTGAGGTACCCTTTGGGGAAGGGTCAGCTCTTACTTTTCAGTCTTTACTGCAAAAGAATAGAGGAATTCTGTTGTGAAGAACTCAGAACATAAGTCAGAGTGTTTTTAACACTGTGGATTCGTATTTGAAATCTCTGGGTTTGTCTTGTGAATCATGGATAGGTGTTTCCTAATATTGAGGGGAAGCCTGCAGCACCCTTAGAAGGATCTTATATCACTCTAAGACTCTGATCTAACCAGGAGGAAAGGTTTAAATGCAGGCATGCTTCTACAATACTATCCCCTCTCTTGAGCTTAGAAGCCTAACTTGGGTAATATGGGATGTAAAACCTGGAGCCTTCTTCCCCCTTCCCCTCCTTCCACCCCCCCCTCCCAAGAATAGATGCCTACAATGCTCTCAAAGACTGGAGCAGCACTTGTTATTTTTCTTTTTAAAGCACAGTCAAGTAGAAAGTAATGGTCAGGGTCACCTTTCATGTAATAGGTAAGTGGTCTAATCACTAGGCTAGGAAGCAGGAGGTCTAGGGTTTACTGCCCTTCTCAGTCTAACGGGCATTTGAACCCAAATCTCCCTCCTCTCAAAAAAGTACCCTCACTGCTAAGCTATAGAATGGGTGTGTAGAGGTGTGCTCTCTAACCCTTCTGTTGCAACTGAGCCATTGTGAAGAAAAGAATGCAAGATGTGTGGGGCCAGGAGGAGGAAATACCTTAAGGGGCATGAATGTAGTCTCTTGATTAGGGAATTTAGCTGGGAGCAAAGATTTCTGGACTCCAGTTTCTGCTTCCTGGATATTGTCTTGTTTGAAATCCAATGACTGTTTAATGTTAAATGCATGAGTTAAGGTGGGAGCAAAGGCTGAAACCCAGAATGCCCTCTCACCTATCCCCTACCTTGTATTCTCACTTAATGGCCTCATTAACCTTGTTTTCTTTGTTCATGATGAATTCAGTGGGTGTGAGTGCTATCATGTCTAACTGATGGCTAAGAGGTTAAGACACACTTACGGGAGGTGAGAAATGTGGGATGTGTCTTCAGGGTCTAGACTCTAGGTCTGCCATTTCCTGAATGAGTGTTTTAAGTGATAGGCTGCTTTAAAAAAAAAATTAAAAAAAATAAAAGTGGGCTTCTATAGTTATGACTGAACCTTTTGAGAAGCCCAGTCCTGTCACCTTTTTGGGTTCAGTCTACACACTAAGCTCTTAAAGCAGGGTTAAGCAAAGTACAGCTCACAGAATCGATCCAGACCACTGAGGGGTTTTGCCTGGCCTGTGGTGGGTCCCTCAGTCCCAACTAGCTAATGCATATGTGGCAGCCTTAGCCATAGTAACTGGAGCTGGTCCTCCTGCCCTTGGGACCCATGCAGCCAGGTGAATGGGATGGGACTGCTTGGAGTTTTTGTGAGCTATTGCACTAGCTGGGGGTGGTTAGGTACTGACCTGGTCCATGACAGCTCACCAAAACTCCCTATGTGGACCATGGGCTAAAATCATTACCTGCCCTCCCCCCCACCTTTTTTTTTTTTTTCTTTCTCTTTCTCTCTCTGAGGATTTGGGCACTGTTCCATTTAGTTTCAGAAACATCATGCAACCTGAGAGCGCTATGTCTGGTTGATCAGGACTGGGGCTGGCACATGCAAAACAGCAACATTGTTTGTTGTCACATTGACTCATGTTCATCTTGGAGTCGACAACGACTTGGATCTCTTTCTGCTGTTTTGCTGCTGAGGTCATCCCCCAGCCTATAGGTGTGCTGGTGATTCCCTCTCCCTAGGTGTAGCACTTTGTTCTTGTCCTTGTTGAACTGTATCCTGTTGCTCTCTGCCCACTTCTCTAACCTGTCCAGGTCCTCCTGGATTCAGTTTCTTCCCATCAGTGTATTTGCTTCACCCCATAGTTTGGTGTCATCTGCAAATTTTGGACAGAATACTTTCCATGCCCTCATCCAGGTTGCTGCTGAAGATATTGAACAGCACTGGTCCAAGGACCAAGCCTTGGGGGGGACCCCACTGCCCACATCTTTCAAGATCAATACCGACCTGTCCACCAAAACTCTGGATATGACCTTTAAGACAATTTACCATCCACATGACTCTGTAATCATCTCTGTATGGCACAACCATTCAATTTGTTTATAAGAATAGGATAAACTGTGTGTCACGGCAGAGTCCTGTAGGAGGGCCGTGATCTCCTTGAGGCCCCCTCTATGTCAAGTCAGCCCAAGGGCACCCTCTATTCTTGCCCGCCACGTCTTT